TGCAGCCCTGTGCTTTTTCCATGGAGCCCCTAATTTTTTTATATTTCCTACATATCCCCATTTTAGCCCAAAACTATTTTACCCCAAAAACTCCTTTCACTACTAAGATGCCATTTCAAAAATAATACAAAGGTAAGTACAATAAATTTCTACAAACCTACAGATATTATTTTTCTAACTATCTCAAACACTATTCCTTCATCAATGAGGTATTTTCTCCAAATATTCTTTAACTGAAACTTTGTACCATTTCATGAATCACTTCAAAATATTAGATCAATTTCTAGTTGATAAATTAATTCATCCAAGTGGTTTAATTAAAATTACATAGATCTAGAATAGGAAACTGAACACAAATATAAAAAACTCAATCGCTATACCTCAAAAATTCAAGAAGCAAAGATAAAAACAAAATAAATAACTAAATAACTAAGGAATCTGTAGTAAATATAGGGTGGGGCAAAAATAGGTTTAAAGTTGTGGGTACAATGAAGAGTTTATTCTGATTTGTTTGTTCATTTATATTATCCTTTAGATGCTTCCGGTGGCTTACATTGCTCTAATCCTTTGTTAGTCACAAATCACTCAAATTATCTTCCAGTTTTGCCAATGTTCATCTTAAATCCTTCAGAGCCAATGATCCATTACAATGTAGATAGTTCCTGGATTTAAAACACTTGGCTGAAAAAATATATTGGCATCAAAACAAGAAAGAAGAAATATTGCTCTTTTGACAACCTGAATTACTGTCAGAAAAGAAAGTGACTTATTGAACTTTCCGTGTTAACTTAGAAATATTATTATCATTACTGTTTAAACATGCAATTGCTTACTGATTAGAACCTAAGGTAAGCAAACCAGTCATATAGTTTATTACTATTGATTATGTCATCAGAATTTTTAAGGCTACAAAATGCAACTAAAATCAAATTATATTAGGTACAGTAATTTAAAACTAAGATCAACTCTCAAAATGAGGCTTTGTTCCTATACTACCTATGACCACTGTAGTATTTTTAAAACCCTAACAATGCAAATATTCTGGAATTTTAACAACTAGCATCATGTCTGACATCAACATTAAATAAATATTGAATGAATGAATGAACGAATGATGGTATAACTAAATTTTATGACATGGAAATTATAAAGGTCCACATTTTTCTTTTTATATATATATATTTTATTGATTTTTTACAGAGAGGAAGAGAGACGGATAGAGAGTTAGAAACATCGATGAGAGAGAATCATCGATCAGCTGCTTCTTGGGGATGTGCCGCAACCAAGATACATGCCCTTGACCGGAATCAAACCTGGGACCCTTCAGTCCAAAGGCTGATGATCTATCCACTGAGCCAAACCGGTTTCGGCAAAGGTCCACATTTTTCAATGAAGATATTGAGGCACAATGAGTTAAAATAGCTTGGCTGTTTTTACCCAGAAAATAAATGTTGGTATTAACTTTGAAGTAAAATGGCCTGACTATAAATTCACTTGACTAATTTCTATAGCATGCTATATAACATATAACATTAGTTAAGTTTATGAAGATGAGTTATATTTGGAAGGTAATATGAAATACTGGTTAACTCTGTATGCAGGTATTTAAGTGACAGACTTGAGACACAAAACTTGCCTCATCAAATTAAGGAAGGTTAAAATCATAGCAAGCATATTCTCCAAACACAATGCTTTGAAATTAAAAATCAACTGCAGAAAGGAAGCTGAAAAAACCACAAGTATATGGAGATTAAACAATATGCTACTAAATAACAACTGGCTCAATGAAGAAATAAAAGAAGAAATCAAAATAAACATAGTAAAAATGAGAAAGACAATATGACATTTCAAAATTTGGGGGACATTTGAGGGGTTAACATCCAAAATTGATAAAGAACTCACACAATTCAAAAAAGTAAACAATCCATTTTAAAAGTGAGCAGAGGACCGAAGCAGACATTTCTTAAAAGAGAGCATACAGATGGCCAATTAAGAAATAAATTGATCAATTGTGTATTTTTTCTACTTGTCAATTACATGAAATCGTTAGCCAAAGATATGACAAGAAAACTTGCTAATTTAAGAACAATTTCACTCAATACCCCCATCACCACCTAAACCTTTTAAATCAGCTTTAAAATTTAAATATGCATCATACCTCAGTTACCAGAAAACTATCATATCAGGATATTTTAAAAATGAACTAAGCAAGGAAGAAATTCCTATTAAAATTTTGACTGACAATAAGCACATGGGTCATATCTTATATAAGTAATTTCATTTGATCTTCATAACAGTACTATCACATAGAATTAATACTATCTTATTTTGTGGATGGCAATGTTGGCAGATGTGATTAAGTTGTCCATACAACATACAGCTAAACACAGAAAAGAGTTGGGATTCCAGCCAGGTTACTAGACTCTAGGACATGGTAAGGACTCAATAAATTATCCTAGCATAGGATAAAAACTTTTCTCAACTGAATATATTGATCATATATGAGTAAATCTCTCAGTACCCAGAGTCATTGTAAATATAAAATTATTTGATATACTATATCCATTTGCCACAAACTCAAAATACTTTATGTGATTTTCCACACCCACCATCTTTGTTAGGCTAGAATATATTGTAGCCATTAACATTGTTATGATAATGAAGGTAGCACCACATACTTATAGAACCCAATATATCTTAGAGATATATCTTAGAGTATTTTCTTAAACTTTAAGTAGCTATTCATTAGCTACAGGAAAATTTCTTAAGCAATTTCCTTGTTTGATATTTTAATTAGGTAAAAGCTTGTCTATAGTACCTTTAAATAAAATTACATATAATGTTAAGTAAAATTCCACCTAGGAAGGAAATATCAAATTAAGATTAAAAAACTATAAAGTCTGTTTACTAACTCTACCCCCTCCCCCACCACTAGATCTTTTTTTTTTACTCCCAAAATTGAGACATGACATTTATTTTAACTTCCTCCTTTCCCCATTTTTCAAAATCCATCTTGCCAAATAAACTAATCCTACAGTGCATATGCCTAGACATGGGGAAACCAGAACCACATTAATTTACAGCAGTGGTTCTCAATCAAGATTTTGTTTTGTGAGCACTACAAGGCAGTTTTAAAATACTGTTGCTGCCTTCCTGCCCCGTGGATCGTGAAAGCTTCCCAGATAAATTTAATGTGCAGTCAAGTTTGAAAACTACTGTATTAGATCATTCTGTATGCTTTCCCAACTGGTAGACAGTGATTGGACTACCAGTTGTGTGGATGAAGTTGCCAAACTGGCAACTGTAACTATCATTTCTTTGTTTTGGTAAAGAAAATCAACCCAGAAGATTAGCTTCCCTCAATCTGTCTCTTCACTCCAATAAAAATCCAGACAAAGGTATTTAAGAAGCAAGTTTTTTCTGTGGAAGTTCTTTTTCTTCTTGAATTTTCAAACTGTGGCTATATAAACTGACTGTCTGGAAAAAGTAAAATTAAGTCAATTTGGTTGTTCAAAAGAAGAATCTCCAGCCAAGGTACGTATTAGAAATGCAGATATAAGGATTTTGACTTTGAAGTTTTAATTTTTGCTTGGGTTCTCAAGGTTATTAGTCACATATGTGATAAACTATATTGGAATATAATTCAGCCTTTAAAAAGAAAAAAACTTAGAGAAATTTGAAGAACATTTTGCTAAGTAGAATAAGCCAGAGGGGGGGAAAGGCAAATATTGTATATTAAAAAAAAAAAATCTAAAAAAAGTCAAACTCAGAAACAGGGTAGAAAAGTGGTTGTCAGAGGCTATGGATGGGGATATAGAGGTTGGCAAAAGGTACAAATCTCCCCAGTTATAAAATGAATAAAGTCTTGGGATCTACAGTGGAACACAATGACTGTAACTGACAACAACACACTATTTTACAATTGAATTTTCCTAAGTGAATAAAACTTAAATGTTCTCACCTAAAAATACAGAAAAATAGGATAAATGTGCAAAATTATGTAAGTGTTAATTAACTCAATGAGGGGGGGATCTTTTCACAATGTATGCATATAAAAACTAATTACATTGGACCTTTTAAATAATATTACAATATTTGTCAATTATACCTGAAGAAATAAACAGAAATAGTAATGCTACCTAAAAATCTTGTGTGTATTTAAGAAAATATATGCCGCCAGTGTAAAGCTCACCAAATCTTTAACATATTTAAAAGAGTATGGCATGAAGAATAATCATACTGAATGGTTGTACAATTTGCATCCAGTTTCACAATCTATTGACTCTTCTGCTGATAAATGTTAATAGCCTCTAAAGCCAATCATGAGTAGAAGAGTCTAAAAAATACCTAAAAATAATATGCATTTCTGCTGTTTTTTGAGGTGGGTATTTTATGTGTTTTTAAATTGTCTACAAAGACAGCCTATTTAAAAAGCACTTTTAAGTGGGTGGCCTCATGACCATACCACTGTGGAATCTGTGGACCTCTCTTTCTGTGTCATTTTCAAAGCTGGTACACATGACAGGTACCACATCGACTCCAAGGCAAACTGTCAGCATGATGGTGTTTTTATTTAGCTGCCCAGAGCACAAGTTGTTATATACTGAAAAATAAATCAAATTAAGGACAAAAAACTCTTTTTCTTAATCTGGTCAATTGTAGATAATAATTTGCTTTGGGAAATCACATAGGAGGAAAAAGTCAGAGCAACAGTACCTTATTTAAGAAGCAAGATTGATATTAAAGGAAAGATACATGTTGCAATTACTTCCCCTTCAGATAAAACTAACGGGAATTATGTTTTTGTTTGTTTTTAAAAATAAATTGTATTAAGAAATTAGGCTTTATAATAGCCCATTCACATTAACACTATCTAGATCATGAATTTATAAATGTCTATAAGTTTTGATTAATTTTAACAATTATTACCAAAAGTACAATCAAATAACTTATATCTCTCCAAAGCAGTCACCACTGGAGGCCACAAGAACTGCCCAAAAAACTTTGCTTTTCAAAAGGTATTTTAAAAAGTATCTGGGGTTATCTTTCATACAAGTTTTATAACAAAATGATAGCATTTTGTTATAAAAAATCAAATGATAGCATTTTGTTATAAAAAATCAAATGTATAACAATACTGCTGTGCATGTATGCTTCTTCCTTTTCCCAAAACAAACATATATTTAAAGGGCTCTGGTACTCTTTTTATTTTTATTTTTGTCATATCATAGAACATGTACTAGAATCCTTTCTAAATTTTGAGTTTAAATTAAGAAAAAAGATGTTATCAATTTCATTAACCATTTGTAATCTCGTCCTTTTAGGAACAATATTTAAAAAAAAAATGAAAGAATTAACTTTCATCTTCAGCCTGTTGGCTCTTACTTCACGTTTCACGGTAAGTTCCCACCAGTCCTAAATATTCTTAAATATACTTCTCCTTAATTATAACTTCAAACAAAACTTTGATACCAATGATGTCCTCCTTCGTTATATAACAATATAGTGTCGGGATGTCAATCAGTATAGAGTTTTTCCTAATTTCTTTTAAAAAAAATATGTTTTTATTGATTTCAGAAAGAGGAAGGGAGAGGGGAAAAAATAAAAACATAAAAATGAGAGAGAACCTTTGATCAGCTGCCTCCTTCACACACACACTATTGTGATCAAGCCTGCATGTGACTGGGATGCTCAAACACTGAGCCACAACAACCAGGCTCTACTTTCCTTTTTTCTTTCTCTTTTACATAGTATGACTTTCTGGCCAGTAGTTTTGAGCATGAGGAGATAGAAGGCAGGTAGACTCTGGCAAACCTATCTCTATTTCTAGGAACATCTCTTCCTTTTTTTTTTTTTTTTTTCAAAAGCACTACAATCAAACTATCAGAAAAATATAACTGAAATTTACTAAATGTTGTAAGGCTATGGAAAAATAGAAAGTTCAAGATAAATTGTCTAGAAGGACAACAAGATACATTAATGCATAGATCATTGTATAGTCATTTTTATTAAAAATATTCATAGCCCTGACTGGTTTGGCTCAATGGTAGAGCATCAACCTATGGACCAAAGAGTTGTAGGTTCGATTGATCAAGAACACATGCCTGGATTGCCAGTTCGATCCCCAGGGGGGCATGCAGGAGGCAGCCAATCAATGATTCTCTCTCATCATTGATGTTTCTATCTCTCTCCCTCTCCCTTCTTCTCTAAAATCAAGAAAAAATGTATTTTAAGAAAATATTTGTAAAGACTTAAAATTTAGAAAGCCTTTATGATCTCTAAAAACATATTGGTTAGAGTTAACATGTTTCTGTTCATTCACTGGGGAGTAAATTCCTCAGTAAATACTGTTCATTCCACTCTACTTTTTCAGTTAAGAAAAAATAAAAACAGGAATAAATAAATAAAAAGTCATCTTCTCTAGAAATACATTCATTCAGATTTTTGAAAAGCACTTGGTAGAGTCCAAAATATATAATGCAAAGAAGGAAGGAATAAATCCCATGGCCAGAAACACAAATTTAATAATATAAACTTCAGAGAAATAACAATTTCCATAAAATGTGCTGGTATTGGGGTGACAGAGAGGAGAAAGAGTGCTCAAAGTATGTTTCAATCTTTATTGTTGAAGCATTATAGTTGTTCCCTTATTTCCCCATTGACCCTCCAGCCCACCTGTACCCACCATCTTAGATCTTTACCACACTATTGTCAGTGTCCATGGGTTATGCATATATGCATAAAAGTTCTTTGGTTGATCTATTCTCACCCACCCACCCCATCTTCCCTCTGAGCTTCCACAATCTGTTTCATGCTTCTATGTCTCTGGGTTTATTTTGTTCAAAAGATTCCTCATAGAAGTGAGATCATACTTTTAATAATTTCTGACAGTCTGAGCCCAGTGCTGGATGACATAAAAAGTACCAATGTTGAATTCAAACCCAGGAGCTTTATAATTTAGGTTTTAATATCATAGTAAACTTCTAAAAGAAACTATTTAAGAATTATCTACATTACACAGTGAACGAATATATGTCAATAAGAACTTTCAATAGTACAAGCAAATAAAGTAGAATTATTGTTCTAGTAAATTTAATGACATCTGTGCAAATATATTCTTGGACAAATGGTTCATTTTCACTATATTTTAATTTATAATATGATGTTAAAATGGAAAAATATTTCATTTCATGGGAATCTGTATTTAAAAAAAAACTTGTGATCTAATTATTCAGAATATATATTTTCAGACCCTATCCAAAAACTGAAAGAAAAACAAATCTGGCTTTGGGGTTAGGAATCTGTCTTCTATTATAGAAGATTCTTATGCGTGCTAATGTTTGAGATCATTCAAATACATTTTTGAAATTAACTTCTGATCCTATTGTGTTATGGTTACATGAGGCATGTAAAGACAAATGTTAAGATAAATTGACCTGAAGTCAATATATCAAATGAAAATTTCTTAGGTCAATGATTATAATTAATCATCAAATTTATCATACTAGAATAAACCACTTTTGGAAGCATGTCCCCATACATTGTGGCAAAAATGACTCCTCTGAGCACATTAATAAATTTTGCTTTAGGCTTTCTGAAAACGTTACTAGATTAAAAGATAAAGAAAGTTCCATGGACAAGCAAAGTTGGCAAAGTTAGATAAAATGTTATCTAACATTGTTGACTAGAGCAATCTTCAGAGACAATAACAGAGAAAACACTATCTTTGTTCCCTTTCCTACAACCCTCTGTTTCACAGTGATAATAGGCAACTTCTGAGGAGATGTATACAAAACATAATTCTTGAAGAGTCTTAAAGATTCTTACAAACTACCGTGTTTCCCCGAAAATAAGACATCCGCTGAAAATAAGACCTAGTGCAACTTTGGGAGAAAAAATTAATATAAGACACTGTCTTATTTTTGGGGAAACAGGGTAATAGCACGTTTCTATTCCAGAATCCTGAACTGCAAGACTAATGCAACTTAAGACAAATTATTTTCTAGCTTATAAGACTATAGAATCCAATTTATATTAGAAGGAGACAATGTCCTAAAAAAAAAAAAAAAAAAAAAAACCCATGAATTTAACACATGTATTTTTCTCACATGAGAGTTAAACTTTTCCAAAACCCTGGAAGGCCAGACAGGTACTTGGGCTGCACCTACATGTAGCACAGAGCAGCAAATGAGGTGGACCCTCCACAATGAAACAAATGAGTGAATTGGCTCCTGTGTAGTTGACTGTGTGACTAACAAATAGGTTTCTGACATGCATGCCATTTTACAAGATATCAGAAGTATGATGTGGGGATGTATAATCAGCCAAGTCTAAGCTTCAATACAAAGAATCAATATTTGACAAGAGATATCTACTCAGCACACAAGATAACTAAGGGCAGCACATTCTGTCCACTAAGTTGTTTGGAAAAGAGCATTAAGGGTGGCAATTTCTAATCTTTAAGAACAACAATCAGAAAAAAAGAGTATAAGAAGGAAAAAAAAAAAAGTGATAACCTGCATAAGTAAATCAAACCCCTAGTCAGAACTGAACAATCTATAAGCAGTTTTCAAATAACATAGGCCAGCTGGCATTTCTGAAATTTCACATATTCTAATAGGCACATGAATCACCATAAGATTGTGTAGAAATAGACCCTAGACCTGCATGGGGCCTAGCAGTCTACATTTTTAAATAGCTCTCAGGTGGTGCTGATGTTGATGATCTTCGTCAGTTACTCATATTTTGATTGCAAGGCCCTGGTCAGCAGAAGCCATAAAACCAAAATCAGAAAAAAAATGAAGACTTAAGTATTTACTCCCCTCTAATACCTTCAAGAAAAGAACCTTATACTCCTTACCTGTGCAAGGAAGGAATTAGCAAACAATTCAAATTAGGGTAATTTCTGCTTATCACTAACTCATGTAATTCATTCACCACAAAATATTTATTAAACACCTGCTGTCTACCATGTCTACTATTCAAGATATTGGGTAAATGGCAGTGAGCAAAGTAGAAAAAACCTTACTAACATCATGAAGCTTATATGTAATGCAGACAAGGGAGGAAAGAGGGGTGACTATTAGGAGGGGTAAGGAGGGAATAGAACAATGTTGCAATTTTAGATAGGATAGCCAGGTAGAAAATGACATTTAATTAGAAACTCAAAGGAGGGGAGGAAAAAAAAAAAAAAAAGCTAACTAGACACTGAGAGAAAGCAAGGAAATGCCAAAATTGGCAGGCATATCTCTCCTAAGGAACAAGTAGGCCTCAAACAGTCAGAAGGGAAGACAGGATCAGGAGGTGAGAGCAGAGGGATAAAGGAGTTTTAGATAGCATAGAGTCTCATAATCCTTCCACTAGCTTGGGATTTTACTTTGAGTGATGTGCAAAGATAGTGCATGAAATCAGGGCACTATCGTCTCTTCCCACACACCATCACTTCGTATATTTGGTGATGTTTGTCAGAAAAATAAATTCCTAAATATATGAACAGCATCCATAAATATGTATTTAATGCTGCCCATTGAGAGTAGTATAATAGTCTTGTACAAAATTGATAAATTCAAGGGGCTTAAATCTGAGAATACAGGATACATTGGAAATAACAGCCAGGAATTAACAAACTTTTTCAAAGGGGCCAGGTACTAAATATTTTAGGCTCTATGCTCCATAAAGTCTCTTAATACAGCCAATTAACTCAGCCTATGAAGAACAAAATCAGCCACAATAAACAAATAAGTATGACTATGTCCCAATAAAATTTTAATTACCAAATCAGACAAGCTGCATTGGGCCCACAGCTTTTGTTTGTTAACTCCTGAGCTACACAGGCACATTCTGAGGCAATAGAGCATGTAAAAGCCTAATACATCATTTATAAAATAATCATAACATTTAGACCAGCATTATTAAGAAGTTTACAAAAAGTAACTTTTAATCTCATTGACAACCAAAATAGGCCAAAATCTATGCTCAATTCTTCATGTCCTTGTTGATCTTTGTAAAAAGAGATTAGGTTGTGTGTCAGGAATAGAATCCAGGATAAATAGCAAATTGGATATTAGGAAGTAGAAACAGGAAATCTAGTCCAGCCTTCTCCAATATCTGGCTAGGAATGGAAAGGGATAACCTAATGATGACAGTGCAAGGGTACACTAGGTGGTCAATAAGCTACTTTAGTATATGAGATGTAAATTGAAACTATGTAATCTGAGACCATAAAGCCAGGAATAAAAAAGTGGTTGAAGGGGAATGTGGTAATTAAGAGAAGAAAGGCCATAGGGAGGAAGAGGAAATGGATCCACACTGAACACAGGTGAAGAATTTGGTTGTAAACAGGAAGGGAAAACAACTATGTATAGGTGGGTTTTATAGGTGTGTGGGTAGAAATGCTAAGTCCTCCATGTGATAGCCTCAATTTTGTGAAAGAGAAGGCAAGATCATCTCTAGAGAGTGAGAAGAAGAGAGCTGGAGAAGGCATGTGGATGCTGAGAAGACAGCCTTTTGGGGGAAATAGGGAAGAATGGATTAGCACTGCTGAGGTACCAGATGAGGGGAGACCAAACATCTTTAGTGTTTCCAATATTTAGGGATTGGCGAGATCCTCCAGCAATGTTCACCTGTCAGCAGGTAGAAACAGAGAAGGTAATTTGTATAGAGTTGATCTAAAAGTTTGATGTTGCCTAAGTTAGTATGGAAGAAAGACACAGGGGCAAGAAGTTGAACGCTGCAAGAGTGACTGAAACTTCTTCAAACAAACTGGTGTTTTGACTGCTTCTAAAATAGGATTTGTATTTTCCTGACACTGTTCATTGGCTTATAAAATTCATTTAATTTTATTTCCTCTCTCTCCATTTCTACTCTATTAATTAAGCCTCCTTTTAAATGCTATCTTTTCTACTAGGCAATTCTTGATCTCTCTTTTGTCAAAAATATACTTTCCCTTCAAATTGCTATTGCATATAGAATTTTTGCAAGTTTGCCAATTATAATTTGAACTGCTGTCATCTATGCAAACTGGCAATTGCTACCCTGGCAACCATAGAGTATGAGATAGCTCAAATGTATATTGATTCCTTACTTTATTTACTATGTCTAAGCACTTTGTATAAATTACATATAATCTTATCAACCACTGTATAAGATTAGAACTATTTCTAGAATTATTTCAAAAATGAGCATACCATGGCAGAGAAAGTGTAAGCAACTCAGCTAGCTTGCTACAGATGAAGGATTGGTTCTAACAATCAGACTTCAGTGTCTTTGTCTTAAGAAACACATTACACTGATTCCTACAGACTTTTTATTGTATTGTTTTGGGTTGTGGTTTGGCGGGGGGAGGTAAGAGGTTGGTTTCTACTAGATTTCAAACTTATGTAAGCACGGATTCACATCTTAAATCTGTTTCCCTAGCCCCTAAAAGATGTGTTATATATAATAGTTTCTCAATAAACACAATTACCTAATGGTTCAGAGCCTGGAATCGCACTGATTTCTTGAAATGAGGAGTAAGAAAGAACATCCCCAACTAGTTTTACTACCTTGTTGGCTACTTGATCCTGTGCAAAGTGTCCACAGGAACATTTGGTCCATGCCAAAAGATTTTTGAAATTTAGTTCTGTCCAAACCATCCACACTTAGAAAATGCCCCTGTGTCCAAACAGCCCATAATGTTTATTTATATGTTTGTTTTACAGGATTAATACATAAAAAAAGATTACCATGTTTTATTGGTTCAATAATTGTGTAATGGCTGCATTGCCAATAATGATCCTTCTCACCTCTGGAGCCTAGGTGGTCATAGCACATGGGATGAGGTCCATGAATTGGTATGGACTAAATGTCTCTGTGGATGTCTTGAGCAAGACCAAATGTATGCTAGTCATCACACTAGGGCATTTACTTCCATTTGAACTAATTTCCAAAGGTACCATTTTCATTAGTTAATCAAGGTGATTTGATCCACTCTAAAACCTTTACTTCTGAAAGTAAAGTTGTCTTTTGTTTTGTTTTGTTTTGTTTTTGCATTTCATACAATGCTACTTTTTACTGAGTGCTAGAGCTCCCAAAGGGAGAAAAAATATTCTACTCCTTCTTCTAACTTATTGTTTCAATTAAATACATGACTGTGTGACATTTTAAATTACATATACTAGTGTTCGAACTTTAAATGATCAAATTTAAAGCCTTATTTTTGTATCTCTGATTGATTTTTATCACCACAGCCCAGTGACAGCCAGAGAGCTCGATGGGGACCCTATGGACCTATCCAGCGGCCACCACCTCGTCTGCCCCCGCCAAGAGGGTTTCCACAAGGCCCTATTCTTCCCTATGGCCCAGGATTCATTCCACCACCCGCTCCTCCTCCTTTTCAACCATGGAACATTCCTCCTCCTCCTCCCTTTAGACCCCATCCATCAAATCCTATTAGACAACCTCGACCTTTTCCAGTTCATCCAAATTCACCTTTTCAACCACAGCCTTCCCGTCCAGAACCTATAAGGCGGCCAAAAGACTTATATCCCATTTATCCAAACCCTAATATACCTCAACCCACAATTCAAACAAATCCAAAATCTAGAACCACAACCCCTACCACTACCACCACAAGAGCAACTACCACCACTTCTGCAGAACCCACCACCACTGCCACAGTACCCACCACAACAGCCACCACCACTGCCACAGTGCCCAGCACAACAGCCACCACCACTGCCACAGTACCCACCACAACAGTCACCACCACTGCCACAGAGCCCACCACAACAGCCACCACTGCCACAGAACCCACCACAACAGCCACCACCACTGCCACAGAGCCCACCACAACAGCCACCACTGCCACAGTACCCACCACAACAGCCACCACCACTGCCACAGTACCCACCACAACAGCCACCACCACTGCCACAGTACCCACCACAACAGCCATCACCACTGCCACAGAGCCCAGCACAACAGCCACCACTGCCACAGAGCCCACCACAACAGCCACCACCTCTGCCACAGAGCCCACCACAACAGCCACCACCACTGCCACAGTACCCACCACAACAGCCATCACCACTGCCACAGAGCCCACCACAACAGCCACCACTGCCACAGTACCCACCACAACAGCCACCACCACTGCCACAGTACCCACCACAACAGCCACCACCACTGCCACAGAGCCCACCACAACAGCCACCACCACTGCCACAGAGCCCACCACAACAGCCACCACTGCCACAGAGCCCACCACAACAGCCACCACAATCACTCCCAAAGAAGGTATCTCCACAACGGCCACCACCACTGCCACTGAGTCCTCCACAACAGCCACCACCACTGGCACAGAGCCCACCACAACAGCCACCACAATCACTCCCAAAGAAGGTATCTCCACAACAGCCATCACCACTGCCACAGAGCCCACCACAACAGCCATCACCACTGGCACAGAGCCCAGCACAACGGCCATCACCACTGCCACAGAGCCCACCACAACAGCCACCACCACTGCCACAGAACCCAGCACAACAGCCACCACCACTGCCACAGAACCCACCACAACAGCCATCACCACTGGCACAGAGCCCAGCACAACGGCCATCACCACTGCCACAGAGCCCACCACAACAGCCACCACCACTGCCACAGAGCCCACCACAACAGCCACCACCACTGCCACAGAACACACCACAATAGCAACCACAATCACTCCCAAAGAAGGTATCTCCACAACAGCCACCACCACTGCCACAGAGCCCACCACAACAGCCACCACCACTGCCACAGAGTCATCTACAACAGCCACCACCACTGCCACAGAGCCCAGCACAACAGCCACCACCACTGCCACAGAACCAACCATCACAACTGAAGCCACCACCTCAACAGTACCTACCACTTCAACAGACCTCCCTACCACAACATCAGCAGCAACCCCCTCAGTATCTACCACAGCTGCTACTCAAATGTCCACTAACTCTCCCTCTACCACATTGCCCAGTACCACTGTCCAAGTGACAACTCCCAATCACACTATACCAACCACTAGACCAAGTTTAAAAGCAATTTTTAAGGGTTTTTTTGATAGATTTATTTCCTTATTTCCTTAAAGATATGAGAAATACTCTGAACTGTTATGAAAAATAAACTGCAGCTTCTTCAATGGAATCAACCCTGACCTAACTTGCACACCAAAATAATAAAGTATTATTTGAGCAACAATAAGCACCAATTACTGTCTTAATAACAACCTCTCTATCCTATATTTTATTACCTACCAACAGCTAATATGTCAGTTTCCCAGAATAAAACAGAAGTCCTTAAATTTTTTTTTAAAAAAAAGACATTTAATAAAGGATCTATTTAAATATAGTGGGCAGGATTAGTGAACCAAGGGAAGCTGAGGCATTTTGGGTCTGGCCACAGTGGAGCTGGTAATATGCTGAGACTTGATGGGGCAGAAGGATCAAATACTAACACCAGAGTCTGAATGAGAGTTGAGGCAGTGAACAAAATGCCACCAGTGAGACCTGTTGCTGTGAAGGGACATAACTACTGCACCATAGCACAGCCCCCACCATGGAGAGAGCAGGATAGTACCATACCTCTCTTCTTCTCCTATTGCTTTCATCACTGGGTTCCAATCAAAATCTCACAGGCAAGGAAATCCATGTAATAAAGTTTTAGGTCATCCTCCCAGGGTAGACAACTAAGCAGAGAAGGTTGAATTGCTAGTAAGGAACTGACTCAGCATCTTGAAGCCAAATAAGTAGGCAAGGAAACAATAATAGCTCCTGAATTCCTGCACAAAAGGAGAACAGATGTCAGCAAGATAAATTATAAAAGTATATCAATTTTTACCGCCTTTACCTGGAAATGCACATACCTGTAGGGAACCTAAAGAGTAAAAATATAATATAATTTCAAAGAAAAGAAAGAAATTAAGTTGAGATGAAAATAACATATAAATATATCGAAATAAACCTATAATAATAAAAGCATAATATGCTAATTAAGCAGGACATCCTTCCAGAGGGAAGCTCAGGTCTGGCAGGGGAAGGAAGGCCGACTTTTTTTTTTTTTTTTAATATATTTTATTGATTTTTTACAGAGAGGAAGAGAGAGGGATAGAGGGTTAAAAACATTGATGAGAGAGAATCATTGTTCAGCTGCCTCTTGCACACCCCCTACTGGGGATGTGCCCACAACCAAGGTACATGCCCCTGACCAAAATCGAACTCGGGACCTTTTAGTCCACAGGCTGATGCTCTATCCACTGAGCCAAACCGGTTTCGAAGGAAAGCCTACTCTTGCATGAATTTCATGCATAGGTCTCTAGTAGATATTAAAAACCTTAAATGTGTTCTCTTAAATAGATCATCCTATATTTGTAGGCTTGCAAATATAAAACACAAATAGTTTATCTTAATAAACTGACCACTTTATCTACCTCAAAATATTTCTCAAATTAATACAATCATTCTGTATTAATGATGACATCATTGATTCATTTATTGAATGAATAAAATGGATTGAAAAGTCCATTTTATCTATTCTAGCAAATCAAAATATCTGAATGAGTTGAAGCAGTATTTTATTTAAGTAGAATTAAAATGAAATTTTGTAATAGCAGAAAATTACTTTTCAGAATGCAGCCAACAAATATGGTTATAGTCTAACTTGTACCTAATCAACCTAATAAAGCCAGTCAGGTATGTTGCTATCACTTCACATTTTTATTTGTCTCTGACTCTTGTTCTTTGATTCTTTAACACAAAAAGATTACACTAACTCTTTATAGCAGTATGAAAAGACAATATTATATTTATTTCCATCTATGTGTATTTGTCCTTTTAAGAACAACTTTGAACTCCTACTTTACGGCATTACATGCCAGATTTTCCCAATGTCCTTGTCTGGTTTATAAACATCGATGCTACTTATGCATTTCAAATAAACTCACACCCCACTAATTTTCCAGCTTGGGGCTATCAGAGTTTCTGCCATTATATTGGACTTTTCCTGGGTAACATACCAAATAACATTGCAGTCACACTCTGAGGTTTGATTCCATAGATTCCATCTTCAAAGTGCTAAGGAGTTTACAAATGACTGTAGCATTACCTTATTGGTGGCAAATCTCTCCCAAATCACCAAATGTTTCGGTGAAACTTGGGGTATTACAGCTGCTCCTGTGATTTAGCTGCTCAATACCACACTATATATGCAGGGAGCAAAAATCTGGACCTACTTAGCCAACTAACAGAATCAAGCTTTATAGCTGCCAAAACCAGATGATAGGACCACTATACCAGCGCTTTTGCAGTCTGCTCTGCTCTCATAGATTGACAAGATGTATGGATGCTGACTAAAGCATGAGCTAGTTCAGGTCCTAGGAATTATAGACTTTATTCTAACCTGATTGGTGAACCCCATGGTCTTTTTTATGTTATATGACACTGAAGTATATAAAGAGTTCCCACCTAAATACTTAGAATGATAGGGACTTGGATAAGTGAGCCAGGTATATTTCTGACCCTAAATGCTCTGCAGTAAATACCAGCCAAATTAATAAATGTGGACTGTTTTGTTCCTGAAGATGTACCACAACAATGTGCCAGTCGAGAAGTTGTAGCAAGTCCACTCGTGTGTCACAACTCCAAGTGTGCTTTTCAGTGTTGAGGTTCTTATTCCTCAGCTTTGGAAATTATAAATTGGAAAAAGGGAGCTTGAATGTCTTCATGGTAATAGAACAAGAGTTAAATACCACTATGAAAATTTTGGGAAGACCCCAGGACAGAAGTTAACAGCTTAGTCTTTGTTGTGATCCAAACTCCTCAAGCCCTGGATACACTGACTGCCCAGCAAGGAGAAGCATGTGCAATCATCAGTGAAGAATGTTGCTTCTATGTAAACTAAATGGTACATAGAGTATCTAACCTAAGTCTGTTAAAAGGGAGGATTAATATTTTCCACCAGATAAATAAAGCAAAGGCACTGTATTGGACTGACCTATTTCCAGAAATCAGAGACTGGTTTAATGGGGTATAGGAAAATGATTCTGTTCGTTCTTTTCTGTTTGTTTGTCCTCATTATAATTTTTCTTTCTCTTTGCAGATCTTTGGCAACTCAGATTTTAACCCATTTTCTCTCTCTCTAAAGCCTCCTGATATACAAAGGATTGTTAAAAAAAAAAAAAATACTATGAACAACTCTACTCCAACAAACTGGTCAGTCTCAACAAAATGAACACATTCCTAGAAAAATACAAGCTTCCAAAAACTCAATCAGGAAGAATCAAAAAACCTAAATAGGCCAATAACTGCTGATGAAGTTGAAACAGTCATCAAAAAGCTTCCAGCAAACAAAAGCCCTGGGCCAGATGGCTTCACAGAGGAGTTTTATCGAACATTCGAAGAAAAATTAAAACCAATACTTCTCAGACTATTTCAAAAAATTCAACAGGAAAGCACACTTCCAAGCTCTTTCTATGAAGCCAACATTACCCTAATCCCAAAACTATTGTACTTTTTAAAATCGAATTTATTTAAACAATACAACAAAATTTAATCAACAATATAGTTGCCGTTGTTTTCTACTACTTGTGCCCAACGCTCAGGAAGCATTTTAATCCCTCTGTTGTAAAATTCTTGTGATTTTGATGCAAAAAATTCGGTCAATGCATTTTTGAGGCATTCTTCATTATTAAATTTTTTTCCAAGAAGAAAGTTTTGCAAAGAACGAAACAAATGGTAATCGGAAGGGGCAATATCAGGAGAATATGCAGGTTGAGGGAGAACTTCCCATTCCAACTGGCGCAGTTTTTCAGCAGGATTCTTGCAGTATGCGGTCGTGCGTTATCGTGGTGAAGAATTACGCCCTTCCGATTAATCAGCGCGGGTTCTTTTTCTCTTAAAGCTTGGGCTAACCTTTCCAATTGGGCACTATACACTGCACTTGTAATGGTTTGGTTAGATGGTAAAAGTTCATAATGAAGAATTCCTTTAAAATTCCACCAAACACACAACATCACTTTTTTCGCATGCAAGTCAGGTTTTGGCGTGGGCTGCGGAGCCTCATTTTTGTCCAACCATTGAGGCCACCTTTTCAAATTAACATACAGCACCCATTGTTCACCTCCTGTAACAATTTGCTCTAAAAACGGCAAACAGTTTTGACGAGAGAGGAGCGAACTGCAAATTGTGACTCTTTGATTACGGTTGTTGTCGGTCAACTCATGAGGAACCCATTATCCAAACTTTTGGACTTTGCCAAATGCACGCAATTGATTGGAAATTGTTTTTTGCGAATAATTTAAAGTTGTCGCAAGCTCTTGTTGGGCAATTTGAGGATTTTGCACCAAAAGAGCTTGAAGAGCTTCTTTATCAAAATTGGACACACGGCCTCGACCACTCTTGTCATCTAACGAAAAATTTCCTTCTCGAAATTTCTCAAACCAATGCTGGCATTTTCTGGCGCTAACTGCATCTTGACCAAGAGCACTACAGATGTTTTTTGCAGCCTCACTTGCTTTTCTTCCTAATTGGAACTCGTAAAGCATGCAGTGCCGAATATGCTCTTCATCCGCCATCTTCTTAGCCCTAGTTTTGCAACAAAAACCAAACCAAACACAAACTTTTTCAAGCAAAACTTGTTAATTGCACTTCACACGTTCTGTAGATACCACGTGTTTGAAGGTTATGTCAATACAAGTCAACGCCAAGCAAGATTTTAAACGAATGTTTTAAAACGACATTAATTATTACTAGACCCGATAGATAAAGACAGCACACACAAAAAAGATAATTACAGGCCAATATCCCTCATGAACATAGATGCTAAAATCCTCAACAAAGTTCTAGCAAACCAGATTCAGTATTACACTAGAAAGTTCATACACCGTGACCAAGGCTGATACAATATCAGCAAATCAATAAATATGGTACATCACATAAACAAATTAAGAAACAAAAACACATAATCATATCAATTGATGCAGAAAAGGCATCTAACAAAGTCCAACACCTTTTTCTGATAAAAATGCTCAGCAAAGTGGAAATAGAAGGATCATACCTCAATATAATAAAAAGCTTATATGACAAGCCTACAGCCAACATCATACTCAATGGGCAAAAACTAAAACCATTTCCTTTAAGAACAGAAACAAGGCAGGATGCCTGCTTTCACCACTCTTGTTCAACATAATACTAGAAGTGCTAGCCAAAGTGATCAGACAAGAAGAAGAAATAAAAGGCATCCAAATTGAAAAAGAAAAAGTAAAACTGTCATTCATAGATGACATGATACTGTACATAGAAAACCCTAAAGACTCCATCAAAAAATTATTAGACTTAATAAATGAATTCAGTAATGTAGCTTGATACAAATTAATGCCAAGAAATCTATGGCATTTTTATACACCAGCCCACCTCTTAAAAGGTGTAACTTCCAGGGAACTTTTAGAGTTCAAGATAGGCCACCCCAAAATAACCCACAATGGTATATTGATTACTTTGAATTAAAATTACTTGATATGCAGCTGGTACCAGAAGGGCTCCTGGACATACCTTGTCTTCTTTAATGCAGGAAATAAATCTCCAATGTGAAATATATCCTCCCCACTCCTGGAACACACCCATATTATTAGAGTTAAACAACTCTTGTAAGCCACAAGCTCCATACAAAATACAGCTAAACACAGAATGGGAGTTGGGCTTCCAACCAGGTTACTTTACTTCATCCTATGCACACCACAATCCAATATAATAAAAGCATCATATGAAAATTGACAGAATGATCAAACAGCAGAACAACGATTCAGATGACCATCAGCACCACCACATACGCTATGACTCCACTGGCACCAGGCCATCCAAGATGAGTGCAATGCGATTGGTTGGGGGCCCAGTGATTGCCCCATGATTGCCCTGCAGAGAGAGGCCCAGACCACTGGCCAGCAGGGTGATCAATTGGGGGGCTTCATGATTGCCCCAAAGAAGGAGGCCCAGGCCTCTGACTTGTGGGCTGTGGCATGTGGGCAGAGCCTCCCTCTGAGAGGGAAGGCCAGGTTCCAGGTGCTGGTGGCCAGAGGGAAGCCAATACCAGCAGCCAGGGAAAGGAAGGCCTTCTCTTGCACAGATTTCGTGCATTGGGCCTCTAGTACTACAATAGAAAGCTTTCACATTTTTAAACTCAAAGACATAATTTACATATGACCAAATATACCCACATGGATAACCATAAAATATTTCTTGAAAAATACCTGCAATCTGATCATTTCTTTCCTATTCTGCTTTATCTTTTTAAATTAATGGTTGAGAGTATTACAGATGTCCCTCTTTTTTCTCCACATAGTTCCCCTCCACCTGGGTCACATCCCATCCCTATTGTCTGTGTCCATGGGTAATTCATACCTGCATATAAGATCTTTGTCTAATCTCTCCCCTCACCTCCCATACACCTTCCTTCTGGGAATCATCAGTCTGTTCCATTTCCATGCCCCTGATTCTATTCCATTCACCAGTTTGTTCTGTTCATCAGATTTTTTATTCTCTTGATTTCTAGATTCACTTATTGATAGGTATATATTTGTTGTCACTTTGTTGTTCATAATGTTTATCTTTACCTTTTTCTTCTTCTTCTTTTAAAGAATACCCTTCAGCAGTTCATAAATACTGGTTTGGTGGTGATGAATTCCTTTAGCTTTTTCTTGTCTGTGAAGCTCTTTATCTGACCTTCAATTCTAAATGATAGCTTTGCTGGGTAGAGTAATCTTGGTTGTAGGTTCTTGCTATTCATCACTTTGAATGTTTTTTGCCACTCTTTTCTGGCCTGCACGGTTTTTGTTTAGAAATCAGCTGATAGTCATATGGGCACTCCCTTGTAGGTAACTTTTTCTTTTGCTACTTTTAAGATTCTCTTTTTGTCTTTTGCCCTAGGCATTTTAATTATGATGCGTCTTGGTGTAACCCTCTTTAGATTCCTCTTGTTTGGGGTTCTCTGTACTTCCTGGACTTGAAAGTCTATTTCTTTCACCAGGTAGGGGAAGTTTTCTGTCATTACTTCTTCAAATAGGTTTTCAATATCTTGTTTTCTCTCGTCTTCTGACATCCCCATAATTCGAATGTTGGTATCCTTCAAGTATTCCCAGAGGCTCCTTACACTATGTTCATATTTT